TGTGAAACAGAGATTCTGTAATTCTTGAGAGAAAGCAAATGTACCTCCTTGCAGTCAGATTGAGCCCAGCTTCCATTGTTGCTGCCAGGCAGATGTTTTGCACAGCCCTGCACAGGCGTTCAATCAGTCTGTGTGCCTTGCTGCCTCTTCCTCCTTTCCTCCCATGCAAAGCAGCGGTCTCCCTTGCTCCTCCTTTGTACAGACTTCCTCAAACCACTCTGTGTGGAAGGTCGCTTCCCTCTGTAAATATCTCCTCTGGAAAACCTTCTGCAGCCCACCCTGCAGTGGCTTCTTCTTGTCCTGGTTGCTGCATAGTGAAGGACTCCTGGTAGGTCAGTCTTTGGTCATAGGAGCCTCAGTGAGGAGCTACTGAGGATAACTTCTGTGAATCCTGAACACCTCATGGCTCAGAAAGCAGCCATTCTTCAAGATTGTAAACTTCCCTAAGTTACCTCATGGAAATGTTCTGAGCACGAGGGATGCCACCAGCTGATGTCCTGGGGTTCAGTCTGGTGCTGCTGTCTCACCGTGCCTCCAGATCTTGGGTTCCCATCTTGTTCTTGAGATGCTACCTCAAAGGTTTCACCTGTCTCTTGTTTAATTCTGTCCCACTGCAGTTTTCTCTGATGGCTTCTCCAAACTGTTGTATGACCCTGGTCAGTCAAATGAGTATGCCAGCTTTTTCATGAGCTGTCTTCGAGATATTTAAAGTTGTGCGATGCTATTGTTGTTGTACCAAAGAAAAAAAAACAAAACAGCTTTTTGTCATTTGGAAACCTGAATTGCTCTTTTGTGCCTTGAAAATAAAAATACAAAAGAAACAAAAAACCACACAGATGCAATAACAGCATGAAACTATCTATAGAATCTTCCTATTAAAAAAAAAAAAAAAAAAAGCAAACTCTAAAAAGCTATGTTAATCACAAAGGGTAGTAATGTGTAAGATTCAGTATACTGACTGTCCCTGCAAGTTAACACACCTCCACAAGAAGAGCTAGCAGCTTTCCAGAATGCCCCAGGGATGCAGCTTGCGGCAGTGCTGTCAGGAACACGCTTGTTTTTGTGAGAATAGTATTACACTCCTAAAAATAATCTAAGGAGATGTCCTCTAAAAGTTGTTCTGTAATGATGTTGACATGTAATGATGCATTGCATGATAATACATGATACGTGATGATAGACACAGCCCTGATGTCATGTATGAATTTAACATAAAAAGAAAAATGCTCCAGTCATACCTAAACCTAGAACTAGGCACAAAATCTTTCAGTGCACACCAGAAGAAAATTCCATCTTGAAATAGTTCTTTGCAGAACAGCCTCTTGGTGGTGTTGATAACAGCCATTCAGCATTCCTGTATAATTCACAACAAACTCCTTGTGGGCCAGGACTTGCCAAACAGAAATGGACTTCACTTAAGCAACAAACATGGAATTTATCAGCATGCCTTTGTCCTATAAAATAATAATTGTGTGGCCTTATCCCCATGCATGTGCATTGCAGTAGACTGTCACTCCAAATGACCCTGTGGAATTTTCTTAAAAAGTAAGTGTGTATTTTACTTAAGCTGCTCAGATAATTGATAAAGGACAAGTGTTCTCAGCTAGTCGTAGAAGGCTGCTTCTCACAAACCCAGAGCTCTGATCTGCCAGCCCCAGTGTTCAGATGAAAGCAGGAAGATGTGAGAAAGATCCTGGGAGGTAACATCTATAGCCTTTCTGAATGGGAAGTGCTAGGTACTGCGTTCATTTGCTGTATGCTGCCAATCATCATCGTTACCTCATTTTTCTGTCCTTCGTCTCTGATCAATTTGAATGGTCTTAATTCATCTGAGGTCAAATCTTCATGTATTTGCGCTAAAATTTCTTGTAAGCCTTGAGGGGGAAGGGCTAGTTTTTTATACACTTCTGCATAGTGCATGGGGAGAGCAAAATTAGAAATTACCATAGTGCTCATGGTGGTGTTCTTGCCCATGCAAGAACTATTATTATAACCCTTTAGAGTCACCTCATTCCTGTTCTCAAGAGAAGCCTCTGATAACTCTGCCTGGTTATGTCTTGTCAGCATGTCCTGTAGCACTTGCTAGCCAATCCTCTATGCCAAGAGTGAGTCTGCTATGAAATGTAGTTGCAGACCCACAGTTAGAAAGCAAGCCCACCCTAGCTTTACTAGAGAGCATGCTGATCTGTATAGCTTTTGAAGCAGTGGTCTGGGCTTCTGTGTAGGCAGACAAGCAGAACATTTGCTGAGGATTTCTAGCAGGGCTCTCTGCTGCTGCTGGAGCGGGGTTGCCTTGTCTTTGCTTATGTGGTCTGTCTGGTGTAGCCCTGGTTTTGTAACATCCATTGATTTGCTTTGTGTTTCGTTTTCATCTTATAGCCTGCAAAACTGGTTTACTCTAATATATATATATATATATATATATCTTCCAAAATGCACTCTTTTATTTGACGTAATCTGGGTAACAGAGCAGGCTGTGTCAAATGAATACTATTTAATAAAGTTTACCCTGACCTTTTTTTTTGTCAGTGACAACACTCAGTGGCACCAAAGTGTTTTCCTATCTGCTTGCTGAGCACCTTGTGCTGCTCCTTTTAGCCACTTATCACAGTGACAGCTCTTCTTTGTGCGTGGAGATAGGAGTGGTTGCTGAGTCCTCTTTCTTTAATTAATCAACAGCAGCTCAGCAGCTTGACATCTGTGCTATTTTGTAGTTGTTCTGCTGTTAGAATCAAAGTAAGAGTTTCAGTTGTGGAGCCTCCTTTTGCTTGTGATTTGTGATTAAATTACTGTAGGCGTGTATACTGCTTAACGGGGAAAATTAGCAGTCTGATGGATATGAGCCTTTTCAGAACTGCATTGTTTGTGTGTATTATCATCAACCCACTGACTAATATCTAAGTAGCTTAGTAGCCTGAAGTTTGCATTACATACTGGCATTGATTTTTAGTCCAGCTAAGGCTGTTGGAGGTAATTACAGTGAAATCTATACTAGTTTAAATGAGGAAGAGAGACTGGTAAATCCAGGACAGGAATGCTGTACCACTGGACAGAGAGACGGGACTTTTAGCTGTACACTCCCCTTACTTTGCTGAATGTTTGCATTATATAGTTGTCCAGTTCCATCCATAACTGAGAAGGAGACAGGACTAATGGATGCCAAGCTGCAACACTGTGCTGTGCCCACAAAAGCAATGCTTTTGACTATCTCCTGCTGTCTCACAGACCAGCTTTTCCTGATAGGAGATGACCTAGATTTTCCCTGCTGCTTCACGGCCTGAATACACCTCTGCAGCCAGCCTGTTAATGAGGTCACTTGCTTGTATGAAGTTGTAGCTACTAAATAATATGCTTATTAAATTTGGTTGTGCCATGGGTTACCTAGGTTTGCAGTAGGAAATCTTGTGCTTTCTACTCTGTAAATTTTCTGTAGCTTCAAATGAAAGCGCTGAGTCCTTTAATGTTCTTGGTAGCCTGAGTGTAAAACAGCTGAATGACCACATGCAGCTCGTGAATAAGGACTCCGTATAGTGGGTTGGACATGGTGGCCAAGCTCATCTGGGCAATGTGCAGAACCCTATCAGGATGTCAGTTAGCGTGTGGAGAAGCATTTGCTTCAGGTGGTGCTGGGTATGCATTTCTTCACAACTGGAATTCTTCACTATAAATGCACAGCTGTATTTTTGCTTCAAGTAAAACCGAAGCAAAGCTTTCCATATATGTGTGTGGAGGTGATAAAGGACATTGCATCATCTGTGGCAGATGTTGGGTGTACTGCTCTACAGCACTGCACAGCTGCTCTCACATCATAATAAAAGTGATACAAGAAGCTCAGGATAATTGAAGGAAAACTCAGATGACTCCAGGATTTGCAATAAAGTTCCTTTTTGCCTTGGAAGACGTTATCTGCGAGTAGTTTTATGGTAACCGTATGAATGGTTGCTTTCAGTGTGGAGCTGTCTGCTTGAAAATTATGCTGTATAAATGGCATTGTTTGTTGTGGTTCAGTGGTTTTCATATCAGGTTTGTTCAGTTTTTGAACAAGAGGATATTTTTCGAGCTCTCAGCCCTTCAGGCTTGGCTTGCCTTCTCAGGATCAAGTTGCATCCTTGGCTCAGGAAATTTCTTTGCAGGGGAAAGTTCATAAGGCCTGGTCTTGGTCCAGTGTTGTGTGAAACAGCTTCAAACAGAGCTACCAAAGTGATCTTGCAACAGGAATTCAAGCATTGATGACAATCATTGCTCCTCAGCAAGCAGACTTCTATTTGTACTTATGCTGTTTTAGTTTCAGACCAGCAATAGTGAAGAGTTAAACAAAACTAACACATATAATTTTTGCCCATCAAGAGTTAATCATATATATATTATCTTTTTCTTGCAGGTAGAATTGCTTGTTTTAGATGGTTCTCAAATCAGATCTTTAATTCAGTCCATTACTATTTCAGAAACTGACAGTTTGAAGTGTTAGTATGGTAACAAGCATGAATAATGAAAAACAAACCAAACTAGAGTGAGGGATTGCCAAGCTCCATCCCCCCTGCTACAGGCAGGGCTACCAATCTCCATATCTAATACTAGACCAGGCTGCCCAGGGCCCCATCCAACCTGGGCATCCTTGAACACCTCCAGGGACGGGGCATCCACAACCTCTCTGGGCAGCCTGTTCCAGCACCTCACCACTCTCTCTGTAAAGAACTTCCCCCCGACATTCAACTTAAATCTTCCCTCCTTCAATTTAAAACCATTTCCCCTTGTCCTGATATTATCTACCCTTTCAAAGAGTTGACTCCTCTCCTGTAATTTTAATGGATACCTTGCCTAAATTAATTTATACAGGGACTTAAAATATCTCATTCAGCACATGACATAAAAGAATGTTATTTAGTGCTCATGCTCACAAGCTTAATGGAAATTTTAAGTGAAATATTATTTCATATATACTGTTAATGATCTTGCAAATTCAGACTTTGTTTCCTTGCCTTCTCCTTGTTAATTTGCAGCTGCCGTTGGCTTTCTGACAGTTTCCAGCGTTATTACCATGTCAGCCCCTTTCTTTCTGGGGAAAGTGATTGATGTCATTTACACAAATCCCAGCAACGACTTCACTGACAGCCTATCCAGCCTGTGTGCCTTGCTGAGTGGAATCTTTCTATGCGGTGCTGCTGCTAATGCTACTCGTGTCTACCTCATGCAGACTGCAGGTAAAAACAAAAAAGTGGACCTGAGAGTCACCTTTTTTTTTTTCACAGTCAGGATATCTGGTAATCTGAAATAAAGTCTTGGCATTGACTAACAAAACCTCTAGGAATCAGTAGCTTTCCTTTCCAGATCAAGGGTAAATTAATAATGCAAAGATAAGCATGCTGAATAATTGTTCATTTTTATTTACTGTTGTGTGATATTTCAGAGCTTATGTTCCTGTGACATGGTAAAACTCTGTAATGTGACTCGTTATGTGCTGTTGAGTGCTGTGATGTTTTGCACTGTAGATGTGTGTAAAGTACTGTAAGCCATGCTTGACTGCCTTCTGTTTCTGACAGGGCAAAGGATTGTGAAACGTTTGAGGACAACCATGTTCTCCTCTATTCTGAAGCAAGAAACTGCTTTCTTTGACAAGACCAGAACGGGAGAGCTGATAAACCGCTTATCTTCAGATACAGCACTCTTGGGCCGTTCCTTGACTGAAAACCTTTCTGATGGGCTCCGAGCAGGAGCTCAGGCATCTGTGGGGGTTGGAATGATGGTATGGCAGTCTGTTTCTTGCTTGTTGCTTCCTGTAGCCTCATATTTTTTTCAATTCAGAGAATGTAGTTCAGACCGGAAAGTATGTGTCCTTTTGGATTCAAGTGTATTTTACTGGTTATTAACAGCTACAATATCCTTTATGCTCTGGTTGCAAATAGATGATGTGTCTGTGGACACTTGATGTTTATTTATTATTTATGTTTATTTTTTATTTATTTATTTATTATATTTATTACAAGCCATAATAAGGAGAATTAAGATTTGAGAGAAACTGCTCTTGTTTCCCTGGTTTATCAAATGAAATACAGTAGGCAAATAATTTAACTCTATTCTTACTGAATGTAATAAAACTGGTGATAGTGTCCCATTGATTGTTGGTAGAATAAGATGTGGTGGGCCTGATGTAAAAGTCATTAAAGTTCTTTGACTCAGGACAAAGCCTAGGTGAGCAAAGACAGCAAACACTGAACTTTGAGTTGCTGCTCAAGATTTTTACAGGTGTTAGTATTTTTGTTCATAAAGACTACAGAAACATAGAATAGAGTCCTAGAACCATCTAGCTTGGAAAAGACCTTCAAGAGCACTAAGTCCAACCATCAACCTTGTAATTATTAAACCGTGCCACTTAGTGCTGTTTTGGGTAGGAATATATGAGTGAAGGCTTTGGTGCAGTGCATCAGTTAATATTTCCCATTGGTGAGTTAATTTACAAAAAGTCTGACTTCCCTTGGTGGTTTTCATGAATTTTGTTACACTTATTCAAGAGAAGATTCACTGGTGGCAATTATCTTAAATGAAAGATAAAAGTATGGTAAATTCAAGGATTGGGGAAAAAAAAAAATCTTCCAAGACTGATTTTATTAGAAACTGGTAACAGTTCCCACTATGAAGCTTTCAAGTTTTAATACTTCGTCACTGATAACAATTACAGCTTTCTGTCTGTCTTAGCCAAGAGCCTAAGGTTTATTCTGCAGCAGATTAATTGGAATAACCTTATGTAAGACATCTTGCCCAAAAATGCTGCCATTGTGCAGTTTTAAAAGGTGGACTATCAAGAGACTCTATAGACTATTGCAGAATAATTATAAAATGTGTCAATTAAATCCGTTTCTAATTTTTTTTGAGATTTTTCTGTTTAAACTACAGAAATCAAAATGAAGTGAAAACATGTAAGATCTAATTTTAAGAAGTAGTATAGTAATAATTACCTATGAGTATTAATGATGATGCTATTATGAGTGATACATTTTTCAACGCTATGTTGTTGTAGGCTGTGACCGTTCTTGAGTGCCAAAGAGTGCAGGTGATTCCATCTGCTCCTCAGATACCCAGAAATACCGTATGATATTTCTCTACTCAAAGTTTCTGTATCACACTATTTATTCAACAGCTGTGACAGCACTTTAGATATTGTAATAGCATATGTCCTTCAGCATCCCCAGGTACACCTGTTGACTGCCAGCTTAAAACACATGGCTAAGTTCACGCAGCAAACCAGTGAGAAAGCTGGAAATGAAATGCAGACTTCTCCACTTATAGTCCTTCGTTGTAACCATGGAACACATTCCCCAAATACTGTCTAGAAGAAATAAAACATGAGAAATGAAAGCATGGCAGCACTAAATTGCAATCTTACTAATTTCAGAAAACTCTGGCAAGGGAAGTTACAATTCAGTATTGCAGTTTTTTTGCAATATTTGCAGTTGTTATTTGCAGTTATTTTTCATCTGAACATAAACCCCTCACACATCCCTTTTTCTTCTAGTTTTTTGTGTCTCCTGGCCTTGCTGCTTTTGTTCTGAGCGTTGTGCCACCCTTGGCTATCGTGGCTGTGATTTATGGAAGATACTTGCGAAAACTTACTAAAATGACCCAAGATTCTCTTGCAGAAGCAACACAGGTAATCTTGCAGCAGACCCTTCTAATTAACTTCAAAGTTACTCTGATGTATTTAGATTACTAATTCTGAAGTTACAGATCTTCTGAAGATAACAGTACTGTTCATTGCCCTAAGCCACGCTATGCCTTTAGTGTCGCACCTGGACGCTACAAAAGATAAGCTTTGGTAACACTTATCCGTACAATTCAAAAACAACAGTGCTTTGGAAAAGGTTGTCCATACAACGTGTCCTGGATGTACCAGGCCTTGAGAATTAGGAAATGTGCATTGTGGAAAGGATGATGGTAGGCTACAGCTATGAAGGAGTATTAAAGAAAAAAAAAATCTATGAAAAAAGCAATCTGTGTAATTGAGAACCTGGGCTTGAAAAATACTTTTCTCAGACCGTGATTATGAATTTTAAGCCATTAGAAGATTAGAAGCACCTAGATATGTCTTCTTTTTTTCTTTTTTTTTTTAAGAAAACTTAGCGAGTTGACCTCTGAAAGGAATCGTTGACTTGTTTTCGTCTTAATGTTTGAGGCTAGACTTTTTTCTACATACATAAGTTTCTGGGCATCTCAGTATGTACTTAGATCTTAGAGTATTAGTACATATTATTAGTATGTACTTAGATCTTAGAGAGGAAAACAGAAGTAATTTTTGTTTCCAAGGAGGATGTTGTAAAAAAGACTTAGTTGTGTTTGCTGAGTGCAATGAAATACTGAAAAGTGCTGGGAGATAAATAGTGATAAGACAATCATTTCCTCTCAGACTAAGGGAAATGTCATTAAAATGCATAGAAATATAATTAGGAAAGGTTAGCTAAGATAGGCATTGCTATCAGCTGTCATAAACTTGGGATATCCTACGTAGGAATTCTGTAAATTGTCTATGCCCAGGAAGGATTAGACATCTTCTATGTAACTCTCTCATCCTGTATCCAAAGGAAGCTCGTAGTGTGAAAACAAGGTGTGGGAGTTCACTCAGACAAGCAATTTTAGTGTTTCACTCATATTTCCAGATCGAATGCGGTATGGAAAAGACAATTACTGTGTTTTTATCTCCTACTTCTTCACCCAAAAGGGGTCTTGTTTTTTTGTAAGGATATCACAATGTCTGCTAACAGCTTAGTCTGACTGATTAGAGTTTAGATCATTTTACAATTGTTATTTTGCTCTTCAGAAGTTAAAATAAAATACTGAGCTAGAATGGGACACTGGCAGTTGGTCTAAATTAATTCCTGGTGCTGCTTTGTTTAAAGGAGTAGAATTGTTTCACAAAATAACTGCAATATTTCTGTCACATGATACTATAGAGAGCAATATTCTTTATTTTTCCCTTCCCTATGGTGCTATTGCAAGTTACTGTGAATAGTAATTTTCAGATGTTCATTGTTCACATTAAGTCAAGATTTTTTGAAACCCTATTTTTATCCTGTTAATTCTCTGTTTGCACTGAAGTCAAGGTAGTCCTGAAGTTCTGTTTTAAAACTGCCTGGGCATGCAAAATAAAATTAGCATAATAAAATTAAAAAAAAAGTCAGGAGGAAGGCATGAAAAATTTTCAGTGGTATTCAAAGGAATGTACTTGGAGATGAGCATGGTAATATTGGTTTGACTTTCAAATGGTCCGTAATAGGAACATTCAAAATGGTGTGACTGTGTGCATTTGTTTTCTTCTTTGCTTTAATCTAGTTAGCTGAAGAGCGTATCGGAAACATAAGAACAGTTCGAGCTTTTGGGCAAGAAATGGCTGAAATGGAGAAATACACAAATAAAGTTGATTATGTGCTACAGTTGGCTAAAAAAGAGGCGCTAGCTCGGGCAGGCTTCTTTGGAGCAGTAAGTATGCTTTGATGAAAGGAAACCAACCGTGCTATTCCAAGTGTCAATTATTTTAAAATTCATGAGGATACTTGCAGATTTGCAAATAAATGAATTGAGGGTAAATTGAACCAACATTAAACTGTGGGAAGATTGGACTTTAATCAGTCTAAATTTCTGTGAAACTGCACCTCAAGATGAATTGGTATGATAAAGTCTGTTTAAGCCTCTCTTTCTGTCTCACACCTTCCTTTGTACTATCCATCTAAGCCCATCCCTCCTGTTCAGGGAACTAAACTAGTGGAAATCTTCCCCACATGTGGTGTTTTACATGCTTGGCTTCCTGATGCGACGAGCAACCATGCAAAGGATGTATGCACTGGAGTGGGATTGTGTTTGTCCATAACAGTTTGCACTGAATTTGTTTACCAGCTGAAACTGCAACCTAACCACAGCCTACCAACCCTTCTTGAATTATGCCTATGTTTGTCATTCCATTTTAGGGAATGAGGATTAAAAAAAAAAAGGGGGGTGGGATTACTTGCTCTTCGTACGCTTATTGGATGGCACAGTGCAGGGTCACTGGATGTCTGTACGGCTATTGGCTTAGCTTGGTTTTGCTCAGATTTAACTCAGTCCTCTAAAGTTGTAGATAACTCTTTCAGTGGAAGGAAAATTCTGAAACACTATTTCCTGTCTGTGACAAGTCTGATTTTCCTTCATTTTTTTTTCTTAGACTGGCCTTTCTGGAAACTTAATTGTCCTCTCAGTCTTATACAAAGGAGGATTACTGATGGGCAGTGCTTATATGACAGTTGGTGAACTCTCTTCATTCCTAATGTATGCCTTCTGGGTTGGAATAAGCATAGGAGGTATGGAATAAGGAATTAGATTTTATTCACTTGGAAGCATTACAGTCAGTATAGAAGTGTGAAGGAAGAAGTTCTTAGAAGATCCAGCTTTCTTAAAAAAGTCTCCAAATGGTCTTCATAAGAAATCATACTTTTTTTTCCTCTTTTTCTGAAGAGTTAATTAAAAAAATAATGTATTACTTACTATAAGCTTTATATACTTGAATACTGAGATTATTATTTTTTTCAATGTGGATATGTGACAAATAAGTATTGCTCCAATATTCTTTAGATCTAAATTAAAATATTTGGCATGTTATGCAAAGAAATAATATTATGGGCTTGGGTTGTTTTGTTGTTGTTTTTTTTTAATTTTTTTTAAACACATGTTTCTGTCTTTAAATGTAGTCAAGTTAGAAAGTCATGTAGAATTTAGTGGTAAATCAGTATAAAGAGTGTCTTGAGCTGGAAGATTAAATAAAATGCCAGCTGAACACAACACTCTGGTGCTAACCTTTTGTTTTCCCTTACTGACTTCTTGAAGCTCAGACTCAGTAATCTACTGGCCCAGAAACAAACTGTTCATCTTTTTGAGAGAGCAGTCTTCACTGCTGCGTACAGGCAAAAATGAAGATAAGGTACTTAGAAGCTTGATTACTGGTTGGAAGGTTCTTTAAAAATGAGTCTGTTGCTTCTGATAGATTGGCAAGGCAATGCAGCTCATCTGTACTCTTTAAAACAAAGTCTGATACTGTGGAAAGTACAAAGATGTGCCTGAGGACAAAATTCACAAACCTGCTTCCTCAGCTATCAGAGTCCCAGTGGAACTCATTCCAACCACCAACAATCTGTCTTCTCAGAATCATTTACACTTGGTCAGTAGAGCCCCTGAGCTTCGGAAACATGGGAAAAAATAATATTAAATAAATGAAAAATAATATTAGAAAGACTGAAAACACATTGTTGAGTCCTATTTCCAATAAAATTATCTTTTAAAATTCTGCTTAAGATTATAGAGGACTATAGTTCTGCACAGAGCTCGTTCTCATGGGGACTCAAAAGTAAAGGTGTATTGCCACAAGGTGCCTGCCTTCCTTGACACCTACAACCATAGAGATCTGCTGAACACTTTGCAGAGTATATGTCGTCATCAGTGTATACAGGAGTTCAGGCAGTGAGCTGTGAAGCTCATTGTGTAATCTGGAACACTGCCTCTATTTGTTTGCTGCAAGTGTTCTGTTTACAGAAGTTTGCTGCCAGTGTCTTCCACCAAAAATTGAAGAGAGGTTAAGAAAATTAAAAACATGTTCTCATTAGTACTTGCTGTCCATATTGTACAGTCTTGTTTATGAATGGTTATGGATTTGCAAATGTGTGTGTCTCAGTTTCAAGGGGCTGTGTGGGAGTGACACCTTCAGCTTCATGCAGGGCAGTAAGCTGCAGAGGGTTTGTTTTTTTCTGCCAAGCAGACAGCTTCTTGCTGTGGTTTGTGCCTTTTACTGCCAGCTTTCAAACAGTCTTCTGCAACAACATGATGAAAAGCCCTATCTACACTTTGTGCTGGGCTTGTTGCTCTGCAAGAATAAGCCAGTAAGCTTATTTTAGGATACCTTGGGTTTTCTGCCCTCCTGAGATCATTCTCAACATTATATGCATTTTTAGGCCAACGTGCTTCATTCTGTATGAATTTATTCTGTTGGTCTTCAGGGAATCTGAAATTGGTTAACTCTATTTTGAAATACATACAAAAAAATCAACAAGTAAAACATTTTATAGTTACATAAAGTATAAAATATATACTATCATACTCAGATATACACTTATCTTTACTAAGATATATACTTATCATACTCAGTTTTGGTTCCAGGTTTGTTTGTCTGCTTCTTTCAACTGGAAAACCTTCCAGTCAAGCTGGTTCCAGTATGGTTCACATGGCTGTGAAGAGCTGTGACCCATTAGTACATGCGTGCTTTGTCCCTAGGTTTTTCTTTGCCCAGTAACTTTTGAAGCATGCAGACTTGGGAGTCACATTGCTTTACGTTTTCAGTTCTCTACATAGGCACAGTCAGCTCAGCCTTTAGTTTTGTGCCCTCCCTCTCCTGTGGCTGACTCAGCAAGCAGGGAATCATAGAATCGTTTGGCATGGAAGGAACCTTTAGGGTCATCCAGTAAAGCTGTCTGACAGTGAAGGGCATTCAGAGTGTTCTGTTCTGCTGAAAAATTTTGAAAATGTAGCTGCTTGTATGCAAAGCTGTTTCTCTGAAGTTTAATGCTAAAAGGTGAATGGAAAAGACGTGCTTTGATTTTGAGGATACACAAGCTTAGTGTGTAAAAACACTTGTGTTATTTTCAGATTTTATTTATTTATTTATTTATTTTTGTAGATACAAAAATGGCAAAAAAGAGTCATTGGTAGCTCTCTGCTGAGACTAAATAGGACTCAAACCAGCAGGTCTGATAGTGTGTTGGAGTTAAAGATCCCCTGCATGTATCTGATGCTTTGATGCTGGTGAAGTGCAAAGTTGATGCCTACTAATGTCTTCCATTTGATACAGATGCATAACGCTGTTCTTCTTTTTGCTTAGGTCTAAGTTCCTTTTATTCTGAATTAATGAAAGGATTAGGTGCTGGTGGACGTCTGTGGGAATTGATTGAGAGGAAGCCCCAACTTCCATTTAATGGTGGGTCCTTGTTTCGTTATTGTTCATAGATTGATTTTCTCTACACTTCAGAAGTACTGAAGGTTGGTACTGCTTAAATGTATCTTTTTCAGAAAGCATCTTTTTCAGAAAGAACTTATAGTGCTAACTTTTCAGCCTTCTCCCAACTCTGAAACAGAAATTTCCTTGAACCAGAAATTTTAGATGCTCAAATTTTTTGTTTTGCTTTATCCTTTTTTTTTCCCTCTTAATTAATTCAGGATATTCCTTTAAATATTGTAACTTTGGAAGTGATTTGACTGAAGACATGCTCATTTCTAGCTCCTTGCTTTGATGTCAGCACCACTTTCTCTTGCGTTCTGTTTACAGTTAAGAGTAGAAGGGAGAAAAAGTAGAGGGAAGAGCTCTGTATGAGATGGCTGTATTTCGTGTTTACACTGAAAGACTTACCATGTACCTCTCTAATGTTTATGAAATCAAGCAGTCTGAAAAAAGAAGCTTTCAAAACCAGGTGTTTCACCTTAAGAATATCTCAAGTTTCTGCAGACAATTCACATTGGTCTAGTGAAATATGGTTCTTTGATAAGGCATTTGAAATCTAAGTTGCAAGCACAAACAGTTTGAGGCATTTCAGCAGCATGTGTCAAATTACATGTTTTTAGCTCTTCTGGTATAAGAGTGGGGCTGAGATATGACAGGAATGAAAGGAAGGAAAAGGTGGAGCAGAGGTGGAGAATCTTTAGGAGTACATGGGATGTGTAGGTACAGCAGGTGTGGCTTTTGGAATGATTTCCACCCTTTTCCTCCAGGTAGCACTGCCCATTTTGAAGGGGCAGGAACCATTCTGGTATACAGCTTACCTAATTCACCATGGGTAAGGGAGTTATGGGCCTCTGTGTGTGAGCAGCCTCCTAAGCTGACATGTGTGGTGTTGGCCCTGGTTACAGGCATGTAATATTTTTGATGTTGCTGCAGTGTTTTAAGCTACTGGGCGGGGGTGGGGGGGGGAAGGGAAAGGGTTTGAAGGGAAGGTAATGTCTTTGATGAATCAAGTTTGACATTGATGGAAGTGTGAGGAAAACCAGGCAGTTTTTGTGGCAATTCAGTCATTCACATGATTTTTCTCGTGGGCTGCTTTAAGCCTAAAGATAGATCTGCTGTGTCTGAAAGCACATCTATTTTATCAGTAGTTTTACAGAAAAAGTTGCTTGCCTTTGAGAGGCGTTAGCTTTTATAAAGGGTACCTTGGTCACGTAGTTGTCAGATCCCCGAAAGAAGATACGCAAACACAATCTATAAATCTGCCTTTTGACCTTGTAACTAAAAATTTTGTCAGCAACTCAATTTGCAGTTGTAGTGTTTGGAAGCCAGACAGTGCCCTCCAGTGTTGAATATATTTTGGATAAAATCAGCATTTGCATTTCTTAAAGTAGTTCAGTGAGTTGCTTATAGAAGATACTTGGTGTGAATTGCTATTTCTTTTTTTCATGAACTGTATCCCATTAATCGAAAGTCATATATAAGTTTTGACCAGCTCTGCATGCTGTTAGTAAATGCAGTGGGGCAGAATTCAAGACAGCTTACCCTCTTTCTTACCCTCCAATCTTTATATGGTTCTCTAGTTAATGAACTTTGTAAGGGTTACTTTAAGAAGACTAGAAAAGCGCATTCAACAAACATAATAGTTTTTTGTTTTTTTTTTTTGAGTGAGCTATGGCATAGAGAATGGAGTTTTAGTTTTGAATCGATTGATTCTGAGGGTTATTTTTTAAATACTCCACTTAAATTTATTTAGTTATTTATTTATTTGCTCCTGTCTCCTACTGTTGGAGTTACCAGGGTTTTTAATCTGGCTGATACTAAGGCACAGTCTGGCTTTTTGTCTCATTTCTCTTTACAGCTGCAAATATGTCTGTAGGACACTTTTCAATGTGTATAGACTCTACTATATAGACAGGGAAAAGTAATACTGTCTCCAATGGATGGAGATAGAGACTTAGAATCGAAGCCATCTGTCCAAAAGGTAACTACCAGCTGGCTAATGAAGGGAGAGCTGCATGCTTTTGTCTTTATCAGTGAAGTTAGCATAAACTTCACACCATGAGGAACAATCTAGAGCTCACTGCAGTGTGCTGTGTCCTTTGTAGATCCAGTGCGACTGCTGATTTAATCATCATTTGGATGTGATTTATTGTATTTTATTTTTATTTGGATAATTTCAGCGGATGACTACTTTATGGTTGGCATCAGAACAGCATAAGCAGTAGTATTGGCTTTCCCACTGAAAATACTGAGTTGTTTAGTTATACTAATAGTGACATACAGAAAATGATACTTACTGTGTAGGCCAAAAATAAATTGGACGAAGTCTCAGACATCGACTTTGCATAGGCTTACAGAAAGTTTCTTTTAAGTGTTCTTTCATTGTAAACTAACTAATGAAGAAAGCAGACCTTTGTCTCAGTAAACAATTATTTATGGTGACAACACATATGTCAAGAACTAATGGTGATGGGAGTTTTTTTCACCACCTTTTGTGATCCAAACACAAAATGAGCACAACCCTGCATATAGCTTTTAGATATTTTTGCAAGGAGTATGTAGAGGAATAACTTGTGGTAGCAGACTTTGTTTACTGAAGTAGATTTTGGTATTTCAGGTAATGTTATAGACTATGCAATGATTGGAACTGACAATAAAGATAAGCAATTACTTGTTAATTTGATGTATTAAGAATTGTGCTGCTAGCATACAGTTTCTTTTCCCAAAGAGGCATTTACAGGCTGTAGTGCTTTACCTAACAAGTTATGTGTGTGTGTCCATAGATTAAAGTCAAGGAAGGAGCCTGAAATACCATGCTCTTACCTCTACAATTTCTGTGCTACTCCCATTAAAGTGTAAAGCCTGGAGAAGAGGAGGAAAGCTGGGAAAAAGAGAAGCAAAATCAGTAGTTTGTTCTATGAACAGCAGAGCTAGTGAATATTGATTGGTGTCTTTGTTCCTTCCCTCAGATACCTGTTTATCAGGGATGCGTGTTGCCATGTGCTGTAGCTGGTTTGGGGTTACATCTAAAAAGAATGAATGGTCTGGAGTCACATGGCTTTAGCTGAACGCTACTTGAGTCTGTGGTGCTGTCCATTTTCACAAAACTGGTCAGAAGCTCATGAGACTATCTGTTGAGAACACTGCACCACTGTCAAATTACTGTACTTTGTGTGGGCATACCTTCATAGAATCATGGAATGACTTGGGTTGGAAGGGACCTGAAGGATCATCAAACTCCAGCCCCCCTGCTGCATGCAGGCCGCCAACCTCCCCATTTAATACCAGACAAGGCTGCCCAGGGCCCCATCCAACCTGGCCTTGAACACCTCCAGAGATGAAGCACCCATAGCCTCTCTGGGTGTTCCAGCACCTCACCACTCTCTTGTTGGGATATAGCAGGGCCTGAAGTAATGATATGTCTTTGTGTTATCTACTTATAAGCTTTTTCTAGTACTGATATTAAGATAATTATTTATAACAAATGCTGTGCTCCAGAAAGAAGTTCCTTTAATTTTGACAGTCATTCATTCATAGTGGCTAGCTGTGGTATTTCACAGTTTGAAACCTTACTTTCTATGGTCTGTTGCCTGTGTATTATGCCTTTGCTTGATCTTTGAATGCATCCTTCTCCTGAATTTGTTATATTTTCCACTTTTAAAAGTCTTTAAAATGGCCATTTGTTCACAAATCCATTAGCTTTTTCTTAAAAGCTAATGATTTAAATGGCAGTTCTAAGTGATCTACTGTCCTCCAAAGGGAAGGCTGTTTCGGGTGACTTTTGTAGCACAGTGAAAGGGCAATAGTGATTTGCAGCATTTATCTTTTTGCATCGGATCTATGGCAAGAGGACTTTGGCCTTCAGTACTGTGTCATTTTATTTAATTGCTCCAAACTGATAAAATATAAATTGCTTATAATATGTTTAAAAATTCAGATAATCACTTTAGATATAAATACCAGAAGTTGTTACATATTATCCCTGTTGCTGTAGTAGCCTAAAGCTTCACCGTTGGTGAGCAAGCTGAAATTGCAGTGAGGAGCGAGCAGTGTACCACACTGACTTAATCATGGCTGAAACATAACCTCTGTCGTCTAATGTTGTGGCTTCCAGCTATCCCTAGGCTTCATGTGCAGAGATATAACTTCTATTGACTGTCTATTAAGTAGGTTCTGGGAGGTTTGAGCTGGTTTTAACATCTGTTCATATGTTTCTGTTTTATTTCCTCATATAGAGGGAATCACATTAGGCAAAGACACATTCAGAGGTGCTTTAGAATTCAAGAACGTTGAGTTTGCTTATCCAACACGTCCAGAAACATCCATTTTCAAAGATTTCAGCCTCTCCATTCCAGCTGGCTCTGTGATGGCTTTGGTTGGCTCGAGTGGCGCAGGGAAATCAACTATTGTATCCCTTCTACTAAGACTGTATGATCCTATCGCAGGTATGTTTTGCGTGTTGTTCTGATTTGACAAGTGATGCTTTGTGTCTCTGATACACCTTATAAACATCTGAGGTTCCTGCACTGAGGTCCTGATGGGACCATCTCATCGGTGCAAGTGTGCTTCCCTTTGGGCTATGTGATCGGCGTGTGGTGGTGCCTGCATCGCTTTGCGTCTCTGATCTGCTGTGACAGCATCCTGGGATGTGTGCATCCAGGGGTCCTTGTTCTCAGCTGTTTATTTTGCCTCTTCAGTGCAAGTCAGAACACCCCTGACTTTACTGTTTCTTTACTTTAAGGTACTATCACTGTTGATGGCTTTGACATTCGTCAGTTAAATCCACTATGGTTCAGGGCAAAGATTGGAACAGTGAGTCAGGTAAGGAGGAAAAAATTCCTAAGTGAATGTAATAGTTTTCTCTAAGCAACTTGCTGGGCCTCACTTCTCTTCTTTGTAGAACTGCGTAATCTTACTTCTCAGTAAAGTTCCTCCATCTCACCTTAACTGCTGATGTGAATGTTTTACTCTTAGCATGAGCATTCAGAGCTAGTCCCGTTATTCTGTAGTCTGTTCTTACAGAATTACAGTGATACAGTGTGTTTGCTTAAAAGAAAAGTCTCCATATGCAGCCTGGGAAACACTGTTGCAAATCATACAGATACCAGTACCTCCATGTTTATTGTGGTCTGTTGAAGAAAGTAACACAAAATATAACAACGTGACGTATTAATGGCAGTTGCCCAATCACATTTTGCGCAGCCATATGCAAAATGACTTGTGTTCAGTGTTGTTTCCTGGCAAGCGCAATTCCATTAGGAAATCATGAAAATACAGCTCTGTTGGTGCTTCGTCATGGAGTGCCCCTTTCCTAGCAGCTCCCTCACTTGGGAAGTATGGGGAGATGTTCAGTGACATCTTAACAAACAGATTGTTTTTAAGACACACATGTCCCTTGCCTGTTAGAATATTAGGAAAATTTGGATTGTTCTGTGTTTTTTCTTTTTATCTATTTCAACTAACTTTAGCACGAATATTCTTTTATAGGGATATGCAATGGATTAGTGCTGGGTCTTATAATTAGAATTCATGTTTTTTGAAATCCAGATGATGTGTGCTTGTAATTACAGATGTAACATGTTAGTTATGTTTTTGAATTTGTCAGGAACCAATTCTGTTCTCCTGCTCTATTGCTGAAAACATTGCCTATGGTGCAGAAGATCCATCTACCGTGACTGCAGAGGAGATTCAGAAAGTTGCTGAAATAGCAAATGCTGCTCATTTTATCAGAGATTTTCCAAAAGGGTTTGACACTGTAGTTGGAGAAAAAGGCATTCTACTTTCAGGTACATTTGTTATTTGATTTTAAAATCAGGATGCTTCGGAGTGAAGCCAAAATTGTGTTGTTGTTGTTACTCAGCCTTTTTCTCCAAGTCATAGCCCAACATCAGTATTAACATCACTTCCATTCCCCTCCTAATGCACGTGCCTAATTCAGCTCAGCCCAAGCCTCTAGTTAAA